AGAAGGTACCCGATGACGACAAAAGCTTGTCGAAACGTTGTACATTCGCTAATAATATTTATTTAATTACTCATTCAAGCCGTCTCTAAACTTTATTTTCTAAAAGGCCCCCAGTGGCACAGCGGTATGTCTGTGGACTTACAACGCTAGAAACCGGGTTTCTATACCCGTGGTGGGCAGAGTAAAGATAGCCCTTGTGTAGCTTTGTGCATAATTAAAACAAACAATTTTCTAAAAGTGGTTTCCTCGTCATCAGAAGAAAAAAACATGCTGTAATTGGTAGTGAGTTTAAGCATTGAAAGGAGGATATATAGAAGCTGTACACCAAGTTCGTATATAATATCAATGTCTTAAAAAATATAATTCTTCATTTAACTTGAAGGTAAACTCACTGCCTGAAAAATGGATCCTAATTGAAATCACAGAGTATTAATAACAACAATTCAGTTTGGAAAATTGATCTTAGATGCCGCAATTCAAAGTTTTTGGGGTTTCCAAGTAATTTCAAGGGCAGTTTTTATTTGAAACTCTAAGGTTTTATATATATACCTATATAGCTAAATAACCGGAATGTCTAACGAATTTTCAGAACCAAAATGTTTAATATTTTAAAGTAGCAAAGAAATCCGGCAATACCGGGCTTAAAAGGTAATGCCGTAATGGGAGTGTAAACCACCCTTTCCACAATATTGATTCGCAACACATGAACTATTTATCGAAGATAGTGCTTGTGCTACGCTCGGCCTTTAACGCCACTTTCGTATGGTGACGACCTCACGGAGTAAAAAATGAAATGGTTGCCAACCTCGAACTATTAGATTGGTTATCCATATACACTTTGGTTTTTGGAGGGGGTCCTTCTGAGACACTCTACAGAATTTCATCGAAGATACTTCAGGCCAGTTCCTCATACAAAACAATAGATGGACATATCTGCATTTATGTAATTAAAATAACAACATGTGTCAGTCAGCTCGTACATAGATGCATGCTAGTCAGATGGAAACCCAATATTCCTATTGGCTAATTGTGCAATGGTACTTTTACGTTTATACAAGTGCAAAAGTGAACGACGTTGAACGTACATTGTTCTATACGAGTGCAAAACTACAACGTTTATAATATCAACTTTTAAAGACAATTACTTCAGTAACACAAACAAACTCACAAAGAAGCATATTAAGTTAATTCTTTACCTTTCCATGGTTTATGAATAACACAATACCACTACATCTCAGTACATATTCCAATAGGCGTCTAAAAATTAATAATTAGGCCTAAAGTTTAAACACGCTTAGTGCGCGAAGCACGAGTTTACACGCTATTATCACTGCCACAACTTCATTTATTTTTGATACTCTTCAGCTAACATATTGCGCGAAAGAAAGTAATTAAATGTTTTAGATAATGTTTATTAAATGTTTATATAAATGTAATTTAGACATATATATACACGCAAGAAATTTACAAAAAACAAATGACAACAGTTCATTTTTACACTTGTTGATTACCCTCATTTTAAAAAGTCACTGATAATCCAGGCTTTTAGAAAACTCAGTTATAATCAGAAGAATACAATAGTTTTGTAACAGTTATGTACAGTGAGAGATCAACTGGTGACAGGTATAACATTAACAGGTTGTGGCGTTGAGGATGGTTACTCACCATTTTTTATGTAAATAGTTTTCAACTGTGATTTTAAAACCAATGTCTTTTTTTTTTGGAGCCAAATTAATAATTATTGGCTAAAAAACATAAAAACGACGAAGTGATTACAAATTTAGACTCAAAAAATAATACTTTTTAAGCCCCCTAAATCACAGATCGTCCTTTTTCTAGTGCCAATCCTCAAATTCTAATCAAATGTACAATAAATCATGGGAATTTAAATTTAAAATTTAACAGCTATCGTTAATGTCTTATCCCTCGAAATTAGAATGCAAAAATAAACATTATATGTTAAATAACATCTGTGTTAACTTCAGGATATATTCTGAGTTACAATAGGAATTATAAAACTACTACAACCCACAGAGTCATTATCTTATAGTTCTACTTCTAATCGTTTTCGGTATTGAAAGTCCTACCTACCTTCCGGTATCCACTTGAAGGACACATACATGCACGTATACCATAAATACACACACATACACGCACGTATACCATACATACACACTCACACACATACACGCACGTATACCATACATATACACTCACACACACACATACACGCACGTATACCATACATACACACTCACACACATACACGCACGTATACCATACATATACACTCACACACACACATACACGCACGTATACCATACATATACACTCACACACACACATACACGCACGTATACCATACATATACACTCACACACACATACACGCACGTATACCATACATATACACTCACACATACATACACACTGACACACATACACGCACATACACAGATACATACACACTCACACACATACACGCACATATACAGATACATACACACTCACACACATACACGCACATATACAGATACATACACACTCACACACATACATACACACGCACACACATATAAGTTATTAGTTTTTTTCACCACCTATTCTTTGAATAGAAACTATTCGTTTAGTGTTGTCTATCTTCCTTGTCAGACACACAAGTACTAATGTTCATAGAATGCTGGGCTAAGAAGTCGTACTGTGGAGTGATGGCTCAACATCTGCAGTAAGTTGGGAGTTATCCCGAGTACTTCTTGACTCAAGCTCATGCTATGGTTAAGTCTTCATAGATTATTTCTTAACTTTCTTTTTTAACTCCAACCTGTCTGAGATGTGTTCACTTAGTTATAACAATAGGAAAAATTGGAGATACACTTCTTTAGGTTTCTTGATCTTATGCTGATTGGTGATTTTTGTTGGGTATGCTGCTAATATTGATGGATAAGGAATTTTGTGAACTTTTGTTCGAGTCCTGATCACCTGACACAGTAAATTCACAGGAAGATACACGTGGTAAAGGCTCTGTCACTTCAACTTACCTCCGATGAAATGTTGGTCATCTCTGATTCTGCAGATCAGCAAGCCATAAATGGCCACAATACATAGTGTTCGATAAACATCGTTTTATACCCAATCTTGACTTTCCTTTGTGTATCAAATTCTCACTGTGCTTGCCAGAAATCCAAAAGAGCAATGCTGGTCGATGAGCCTTCTTTCCCATTCAGTCTTCGTCTTTACCTGATGTTGTCTCCTTGATGTCCTTTGGTTTCCTTCTGCCTTTAAATTATTAACAATGAAAAACAATTCTGATCTAAAGTTTGATAGGCTGCCAGTTGCATTTGCGAAAATAATTCATTGGCTCATGATTTAAATCCTTCCTGAAAGCCAGTGATGGCTTATTACTTTATTTTAGGAGCAATGGGGAAGATATGCCTGAATTAGGAAGCTGGCCAGATATCATTCAGTGGAAAGGTGGAGGGTTGTTACAGTTGATCCATGATGGTATTCTTCAAATTAATCGAATTGACTACAGCCAGTACAAGTTTATTAAGTTTGGAATGAGGTATTGGACTGCTTGCTCTTTGGTCGATGTACTCAAAGCTTGGACCTATTCAAACCTTTACAAAAAAACTCGACTAGTCTTTATTTTAGTTGTTTCACCTGCCTAGAGAAAAATCATTCCTGTTCATTCTGACTGGCAAGTGGCCAGGTTGAGATCACCAGTAACACAGGCTTATATTGAGGAGTTAAACATTTTTCCATAGATTATTGACAGTTCACATTTCTTGGAGAACACTGTTTAGCCATTCTGCAAGTCATTTTAAGACAGGTGGCTGGATAGCTTCTCATGCATGTGGTTGGTCACAAATCCGCCTGATAAGAGGATTCAGTATTAAACAGTGAAACTCAATGCTTAAAAACACCAAAATAATCCTACACTGAGTCAGGTTAATGGCCTTTATATTTTGTCAACGTCTTCATCTTTATTATTAGACTTCATTGTATCTTGTTAGCAGTGTACCCATTGTGACGTGATGCCTGCATTAATACGAACATTTTTCATTGTAACTTAATAATAAAGATGAAATATGTTGACAAAACCAAAATATTTTATTTACAAGGTTCGAACGTTTTGGAATATACATTTGTTTCATCTTCAGCGAGATCTGAAAATAGTGTTACAAAGATATTTGTTAACTAATGCAATAAAATGTTTTGTGTTTTGTCATCCGTCTTCATCTTTATTATTAGACGTATTTTAATTGGTTAGCAGTGTACCCATTGTTACATGATGTCTGTATTTGTATGCTAACTTTTTATTCTAACTTGTATATCACTCATTACGTGAGTTTTTTCTTATTGCGTGACCACATCCTATTATAACCTACGCATGACTGTCTATACGGTTGGTTATACGTTCGTAAGTTTATGTTTTTTAACCATTTTCTTCTTTAACTCGTACGGGAATGTTTACATTATTACGATAATTCTACTTCATGTGAGGTTTTGTTGCTATACTATTTAGTGGAATTAATATTTAAATATACTTCGATATACATCAGTAAAAAGTACAGTTATTGAAAACAATGATACTCGTCTGTTGCCCAAACTTCCCAACACAATGTTTAACCAACAAACATTGGGAGGACCAGAACCAGTGCACGATGTTCTGAACAGCAGGATAGCCCCCTGCCACCTTAGACCCAAAGCGGCATCCCGCCGCGCGGTGGCCGGCTCTGCCCAAGTCTTGCCCCGCTATTCGTGCTCGCATCTCACAGACTGAAAACAGAACAGCAGGATCCATACCAGGTGCAAAAAAAAAGTTGCCAAGAAAGATTCGAGTTACATCCTAGCGGCATTCTTTATGAGACCGTAGACATCGTAAGGTAGTTAACCAAAGATGCTTTCTGGATTGGTGATTTTCATAGATTTGGTGCTTACACTGTGCGACTGTTTCAGATTGCAAGTACCATCCACGTGCCTGTGCTGTATAACCTAACTGTTGAAGCTACTACCCTTGAACCTGTGGAGGCGACTCACTTCTGAAATGTACTCTTACTCTCTACCTTCATGCACTGTGTTACACATTGATTAAAATGTGGAATGTTCTTCAACTCTTGAACGATAAAGGTATGAAACTATCTAGTTTGGATTTACAGCTGAAAATATCATTAACAGCAAGTGTACCCAACTGATGAAACAATGCTTTCTTTATAAGTAATAAAAGTGTATTTAATTAGCTTTACTCATTACCGGGTTGATTTTTAGTTTTGATCAAAGTAGGTTGTTGGCTCTCATCGAACGTTACTATTAATGGCAATGATATCAAAACTCCTTCCAGTTGTGTATTATTTATGGAGACAATTATGTTCCTTTCTTATTATTATAAGTTAAATCTATAATATTAGAGGCTTTGTAATAGTAACATATGTTGCTATAGCAGTTAATTATAATGTAGCGTAAAAGCGGAAGAAGTAAAACTGAACTAGCATGCAATTCATGTTTTTTATGCTTGTTTAAAGCTTCAAAGAGTCTAGTGACGTCACATTAGAATAAGTATCTTGTTAGCGATTTAGTTTAATTGATAACTTAGCCTGTGATTTACAGATCTATTAAGACCAATTTGTATATACAAATAGTTTGTTTGTTTTTTGAATTTCGCGCAAAGCTACACGAGGGCTATCTGCGCTAGCCGTCCCTAATTTAGCAGTGAAAGACTAGAGGGAAGGCAGCTTGTCATCACCATCCACCGCCAACTCTTGGGCTACTCTTTTAACAACGAATAGTGGAATTGACCGTCACATTATAATGTTCCCACTACTGAAAGGGCGAGCATGTTTGGTGGGACGAGGAGTCTGACCCGCGACCCTCAGATTGCGAGTCGATCGCCTTAACCACCTGGCCATGCCGGGCCCAATATACAGATAGAAACATACAGTTACATTAAAGCGATGAAGCTAGAGTCGGCAGATGGAAAATATACACAGCATGACTGTCACAAGTGTCGCTTTTTCTTTTTCAAACTTCCTAATTTTTGTTTAGTATTTTAAAAAAAAGATTACGAATTCCTTAAGTTGTTTCTTCAGTTTTATAACCTGTATGCCAAAATTAAGTGTCTAAAAATCCATTTAGTTAAAAACCTACTCATCTAAAAATCCATTTAGTTAAAAACCTACTCATTTATTCACAGTGTATAGTGCCCATAACTTAAATGTCTCAAAATACTTCTCCGAAACTTTGAAAGGTTGATAAATCTGTCAAGCATGGCCAGGTGGTTAGGGTACTCGACTCGCAATCTGCGGGTCGCGGGTTCAAATCCCCGTCACACCAAACATGCTTGCCCTTTCAGCCGTGGGGGCGTTATAATGTGACGGTCAATCCCACTATTCGTTGGTAAAAGAGTA